AAAGTAGAACAAGATTTAATATGTGAATTACTTGAATTTATTAGATGTCATAATTCTACATCCTTACTGAATTCTATATCTAGCAAACATGTTTCATTTGACGCGATCCCTCTGGGATCCGCTGATCTAACTCCAGGTTCTGTATCTCATTTAGCTCATTTATTCGATAAGGCTGAAAAAACTGGTCAGAAAGAAAAATTACGATGGTATTACTATAGCGAGAAATATGAAAAAAAGGTTGTAATCCTTAGATCTAAAAATAATATTAGCGATCAAATGGCAAAAATGCAGATTTATGATGAAATGGAGCTGTATCTTCCCAGTAAAAAGAGAGAGTATTTGCGCAAGATGACACAAAAGGCTAAAAATATTTATACGTTGTTCAAAGGAATAGGAATAGATAAAATTGGAGTAGTTACATCTAGCGCTGATGCGACCTCTAGGTTAACTGATGCACAAATCCAGAATATAATAAATCTTTATACTGATGAACTAACCAAATCTCAAAAATTGATCAACATGAACAATTGTTCACGCGCACGTGATCTACTGGCTAAATCGAATAAGTCTGAACCGAAAAAATCACCAGATGTCAGGATAAGCACTCCACCTACATCTCAGACTTCAAAAACCAATCAGACTAATGTACGAGCCCAATCTAAACCAACTTATGATCGATCCTATTTTCGTAGCAAAACATTGGATCAATATTCTAATTTATATAGAGAATTTAGTAGCGAAAATTTTGATTATTATGGAATTACTGATGAGATATCATGCCCATCATGCAAGTTAGATCATAGCGATGAAGAAAGCATAGAAGGTAGATATAAAACCGGATCCTATTTTATTAAATGTGAACAACGTGAAATTGAGATAACTGCATAGTCTCTTTATTTTATAATACTACATTTGCTCACACTTCATTATGTGATATTTTTTTTACAGGTCAACTACTACCTAATTAAATTTAAATTGATTCATATAAAAAGCAACATGACCAAGTCCAATAAAATATTAACTCCCAAATATCTGGATTGGCATGCCAAATTAAATGGGTTACCAAGCGTTTTGACAGATAAGATTCGTTCTAATTTATACAAAAAATATAAAAGAGAAATGGGACTTGAGCCATGGCAATTATCAGAAGGTCACCTTCTTATAAATTCGAAGCCAGAAAACAAAGTATCTGATTTATCTTTTTCTGGACAATGTGAAGAAAAAGGGCCTATCACCTTCGATGTCAAACCCGATCCAGAATTAATTATCAAATCCATCTTAGAGCACTTCCCATACTTGAAATTCCGAAATAGTTTTAGAGGGATTGATAATTATAATTTTGCATCACCTCAACCATGGAGCTCACCATGTCCTATTTGCGATGGAAAACATGGGAATTATGGATTACACGGCGAATGGTATGGAACAGAATATTGTCTTACTTATTTCACTTCAAGCAATAAATTCAAATTCGCGATTGTAGCATAGAAACTCCGTCATGTGAGACCGATCCTCTGAAATGCGCAGTATGATATTCTTGCCAAATGCATTCATTTCTCCGAAGTCTTGCAAATACAAAAATAGGGCACCATACCGCAATATGAAAAGAGTGTCGGTGAAAAAAAAATTCGTACGAAGCAATTAAGGTGGGAGTACTCTGGTTGTGACTATGCATTTCAATGAAGCGACTCAGGATTACAAGCTAATGGTACTTTTCGTTCTGGGATTTTTTGAGGATCACGAAGGCACAAATGAAACGGATTATGGAATTAATGATAGGATATTGTATTAGTATAGGATAGTCCTTGTCATATATCACAGATTAGCTCTCGATTCTTGTAATTTATTTTTGTATAGATCGCAGTATCTACAGTTATTAGTTATAACTTATTTATAACCGTAGCATAACATTTGTTCTCGAACTTTCCCACATGTACTCAATGAAATTTATTAATAAAAACTCTCCCTGACGATCTTTATATACTATTGTTAAATTATGATCAGATTTTCGTGATGTAATCATATTAACGTAATTGCTCCAAAAGCGTATTCTAAAATCGATCCTGCAAATCATATAAAAAGGTGATGTCCCGGTTAGTGAACTCTTTTATCTGTCTTGCGCAACTAAAGCAAAAATCAAACGAAAAATAAAACTTACCATTATTAACATCATCGAAATCAACAATCAAACGAACTTGTATTTTCCGTAAAGTATTATAAGGTATGTTGGTTTTATTGCTCGGCTAGCTTCTTGAAACATGTCATCACGATCTTAATCGATTTTCCGCTATAGATGTTCCATAATAAAACGAACATATTACTCTTCTTGCTATGTATCGGCATTCTTATCTTCGCCGAGAAAATCACTGACCATCCATCTTCTTTATCTGAAATATTAATAAAGTTTAGCTTAATTTTTTTTGATGTTGTGATTTGTTGAATTAAAAAACTCAAACATGGTTGCGTGTACCTTTTATATGGGACTTGGAAATCGAGACTTTGATTGTAGTAAAATATAAACGAATTGACTGCGCTCAGCAGAATGCTGAAGACATAACTGAAGTGTCGTTGTATGGTGGCAGAACAGCGGACCATTCGAAGAAGTGCGCCTACTGATCATACCATCTTTTCAACGTGCACTATGTCGCCACACAACTGTCCACTGATAGAAAAAAAGTCAACCCTTGGACACCGATAAAATATCGAAACACGACAGAAATATCCACACAGACTAAATCAGGTCGTTACGTGGTGGCAATGGGGCGGACCATTCGAAGAATGCGCCTACTGACCAAACCATCTTTGTCAATGAAGCACCTCGAGTGCAAGCATCGCCACGCAACCATTCACTGATGACACCACCCTTGATACGCCGGTCGTTATCAGACCGAAACACTGATAGTCTGTGAACGCGTAGCTGTTAATCTCTACTGGACCAAATTTCGTTTATCATGGCTAGTTGCACAGCACGTGATCATAGTAATCACAAAAAATTGGGCGCGACTTTTTCTTGTCACATCTTCCAAAAAAATTTTTCTTTACGTGACGCATCACATAACAGATAATAATGCTAAGTTGGGTACGCGATAACCTCAAAGACCTAAAGCCGAAGGACTTTTACAAAGAACTTGGCTACTCACATACTTCACGGAAACAAGCTGAGGAAAAATTACGAGAGTTACTTACAGCAATCAAGAATGAGAACAATATTATCAATCGGAAAAAGGCGATTTGCTTGTTAGATAGTTTTGAAGTAAGTAGAAATTTCACCAATAGATGTCGACGATGATATTTTCTTGATTAATCAGTTGTTCGTTTTATAGTCGTGGACGCATTCAATTGACTGTGAGAAGTACTGGTTGGATGTGAAGGCTTCACTTGGCAGGGTATGTTTAGATTTTTGTCGCTGTTATATAGCAATAGATCTCTGATTAATTGACGATCTTGTCTTCACAGTCATCACACGAAGTGGCGGGACGAATTTCAGCGTATAATACCATCAAAAATTTCACTATAAAGATCAACGATGAGGAAGAAGCTCTAAATGAATTTCAACCGCCATCAAATGATAAATCTAAACCACAAACGTCAGAGAATAAAATAATCAAAGATCCCAAGAATAATCCGTTTTTTGTAAGATCAAATGATAGCGATGGAAGCTGGCGTCCTGAATGTGAAGATGAGGAAGATAAATTAGCTGAAGTAACATTAATTTATTAATCTCTAGCGCATATTATAACCAATTTTATTTACTTTTATTTATTTCAACAAGTCTAACGGGGAGCTTTCAAATTCGTTTTGTTCATCGAATTGCACGGAGAACTATGAAAAAAGAATCGAACTTGAGGTCAGTTAATTACTGTTTATAATTTTTAATAAATATTTCAAAACCAACTTAATATTATAAGCAGTTAAGACATGCCGAAAGTACAATACGTGCCGTAAATGAATCAGCAGAAGACGTTCGTTCCGTTTCATCTTCTGAAACTAAGTTATTATTAAAACGTAAGAGACAAGATGACGTGAATTGTTTTGATAAAGGAGCTGACAAACGAAACCGTTGCAAAATTCCGAAAAATAAGGTATTTGTAGTTTCCTATGACCTGCAATAAAAATGTCTTCTTACATTTCGGAGGTGTTTGTAGATACGAACCACTAATGGAACGGTAGTGGAAGAGTCCTCTTCCAATTTCCTTATGAACATCTCCGAGACTTCTTTAACACAACTGTCTCATGCCGAATCCAAAGTAGTAAACGAAGAAATCGGTAGCGAAATAAAGTCTATTGATGATGAACTTTCTCTCAATTCCCCTATGAACGTCTCCTCTGAGACTACTTTAACGCAACTATCTTATAATGAATCCCAAATGGTAAACGAAAAAACCGATAGCGAAACAAAGTCTATTGATGATGGACTTTCTCCTAATTCCCTTACGAGCGTCTCCTCCGAGACTTCTTTAGCGCAACTATCTTATACCGAATCCCAAGTGTTAAACGAAGAAACCGATAGCGAAATAAAGTCTATTGATGATGAAATCTCTCCTAATTCCCTTACGAACGTCTCCTCTGAGACTTTATCGCAAAATTCTTATACAAACACTACCGAAGTTGATTCATCTTTGGAATCGGCAAAAGAAGTAGGGGACAAAAGCAAACAAAAATCAAAATATATCAACCGCGACATAGCTTCAGAGGCTCTGAAAGCATATCAGATGAACGTTTTAGCGGGTAAAAAATTGATATATGAGGGATTAGATGTTTTAGATTCGGCTCGATCAAATATGAATATGAAATCTAAAATAGCGAAAAGCCCTATCTGCATTGGTGTTATTAACATTCATAATCCAGACTGCACCAAGTTTTTACCTGAAAATTTTAAGTACTTTATCGCAAATCAGCTCCAAACTGAAGCTAGAGACATTCAATTTACTAATGAACGAAAAATTGATAATTTTACGGTTGATTGCGAAGAGGAAGTGTTGCACTTCTTGGAGAAATTTGATCATGTAGACAATTTGAAGTCCCTTGGAGAATGTCTTGACGAAAATCCGATTAATCACTCCACTGCAACGAATGACCTCATTTACGTACAGAATCTTTTCAACCACTTTTTTTTCTTATATAAAAACGACATTTTGCTACAGTATATATCTGAAAGCGAGTTTAACGCATACGTGTGGACCCCACTGCTTAAGAATGCATTCCTAGGAAAGGATGATCTGAAGTTAAGTTGCGGAGAATTGGCGTCAAATTCGTACGAAAAATTAAAGGAGATCCTAGATATTGGCGGTCGCAGTGCACCAAAATTAGATGGTAAAGGACTCCTAAAAGCATTGGGCACGGAAATTCTTGTCCAGGAAGACGGTGTTCTTAATACTCGTAGTAAGAGGAAAGGCGATCTCAAAAAGTTGGAGTACTGTTCGAAGGTGATCCTTACAACCTTGTTTTTTGCGTTACCTTCCGAAGCAAAAGATTATATCACAAAAATTGAGTCCTACAGTATTCAGTCAAATGGGTTTCGCCTCTCGATCTCCGTATCAAAATATTTATTTGAAAACACTATCATCATGATGGATTTACAAGATATAGAAGTGCCGAGAACCGTGGAAGGGTTCTCAAAATTGATAATGGCCGTGAAGGTGATTCTTTCCTGGAAAGCTCGAACTAGAAAAAATACCCTGGAATTCTACAAGGCGCTAAAAAAAGGTCACAAACGTCTGGAGAACGGAATCAATTTTTCTCCAAAAAAAATGATTATATAGCTTATACAGGATCATTAAAGCATAAAATCAATGTTATCTATAATAAAATAATAAATAAAATTTTCAATGATCGCGTTAGTTTTTTTATATAGCATGTTATAAAATTGTTTTTTCCGATATAAACATTTCTCACCGAAAAATGCGCCCGATATTTTGTATTTATTTTTTATTCTGTTGTATCGATAAAAAAAAATTCTTGGCAAACTTCCTGAACCGAGTTCAGGAAAAAACATGTGATCATATTTTTTTTCACATTCAAATATGTTGTTGAAACAATTAAATAAATAAAGTTTTGCCCATATCGAACCTTTCTCCTTTTTAATTCATATGTATAGTTGTGTAAATGCTTATTGAATAAATAAAATAATACAAGTGATCCGCATAGTGCATCCTCCGGTCTCGAATAAAAATGAATCTTATAATATACTTGCTATAAATTGCTAAAAACGCTATAAATAGCTATAATTCGCTAAAACGCTATAAATCACTAAGATCAGTTATAAATTATAAAACTAACTATTCTGGTTTAAATCCTGTAGTAGTGCAGGCGCTAAACAATCTGCAATATAGGTATAGTGGTGAAGCATCAGAAATGATTTGTTATCTATTTAAGAAACTTCTTGAATATAACCCAAAATACTTTTCCAAGAATGGATTTATCCAAATGGTTGAAAGAGTATATATAGATGGGGAATTTAAAACTGGGAGACGCTCATTTAATATTTATTGTACTGTATGCGACTCCTTAGTGTTTATCCATGAAAATACCTAAATGAATGTATTGCTAAAACAGTCAAAAGGCGGATTGCATATTCTAAACATGTACAGAAAAATGTGAAAAAAAGAGGAGCGCCAAGCTGAAAGAGTGTATTATCACTTAATTCTGACGAGATAGATGAAATTTATCAAACATATTGTTTTACATTAAATAAATGCTGGACTAAATATAGTTATCATTCTACACATGAAGATAGGAAAGGGGTTGTAAATCATTTAATTGAAAGTGCAAAAGTTGTCTAATGAGCTTGGAAAGCTTTCAAGTTGAAACCTGAAACATGGGCAAAACGAGTTTGGAATATGATGAGAAATGATAATACTCCTGACAAGAAGAAGTATTTAGGTATAATTCCTCGTGGTATAAGAATTCCTAATAATTGATATGTTAGACTATTTTGGTCAAAAAATTCTAGCTAGAGATGTACCTACATATCATTAGAATGATCTTAGATTGCATTATTTGTATTATTATTATACTTTACATGACTAGACAGAAAAGAAAAAAAACCAGTTATATGTTCAACTAACTACTGTAGCATATATAGTTACTTTTATAAAATTATATCAGCAAGATTATAAATTTGTTAGTTATAGTGTTTGGACTATTATACTAAAATATCTAGCAAATCCTAGACATTACTATACTACTAAAGACTATTATAATAATATTGTTACAAACTTTGTTAAAATTTCAGAATACGTGCGATATAAATGTAAAAAGGAAGACAAACTATATCCATATAATTCGCTAGAAATTGACATGTTCAAATCTTCCTATATTATTACTTTTGACAGAAAGTTAACTATTATAGATTTCTCAGATTTTAACAATAACTGTAAGTATGTGCAACGAATTCTCCAAACTATAGAATTAATATTAAAATAATATATTTCATATTTATCAATAAATCAATCAATTTATTTTTTTACAAAATAAATAACCCAAAATATTATCTTAATATTATCTAACCACAATGCATATTAGCATATGTGACATAAATTAGCAGTTTTTGATCCTTGTTAAAGTGTATATAATTTAATAAGTAATACTTTGCAAATCATCTGTCTCTGTGTAATTATTTATGTGATAAATTAATTTTTACACATAAGAAATCGATCCCAAAATATTTCAAATTTTTTTCTTATTTATCTGAATAGCATTTATTTATGAGTTTATTTCTTTTAGAGCATTATGTTACTACAGGCTATTCCTACTAGATTCTGATCAGAGTATATTTATATAATGTTATTAAGCCTTTATTACTGAGCGATCGAGCAAGTAAAATAAAAAAAAGTATATATATGCATATCCCTCAATGCCTTTGTAATATTGAAATCTATAATGCACATTCCACATGTCTTATTCTCTAACACAAAATTTTTGACATAAAGTGCCTTACATAGTTCTCCTATCTCTTTTCCTTAACATGAAGAGAATATGAGAAATGGTGGTATTTAAAAGAATGGTATAAAAAATTTATGTTTAGGTCACTGAAAACTTTACATTATAACATACATTTTTATTAATATTTTTTATTATATCAAATTTAGTAGTCAAGGTTGAAGCTCTTTTATTGCTAGAGTTCTGAAAATAACTCATATAAACTCGTATATTTAACTCGCATGAGTATACATAATTGTAAATTTTAGTTATACAAAATAAATAAATACTTTAAATTAAAGGTATATAAAATAATTTTGACTCAAAACTTGACTTGACTCATTAGAAACATTATTTATTGCAAGAATCATTAGATACTCTTTGTGAGACGTCTGTTATTTATTTAACAATAGAGGATAATACTCTTTCTTCATATAATGATGTATGAGAAATAGTTAATCAAGCAGTCACTTTATCATTAGCAAAGCTAACAAATCTTAAGTGAAGAACTAAAGTGTTAGAAATATTACTGCAGGTATAATGCAAATCAGATTTTTATTATTTATCTATATCTTCAATGATAAGTCTATAGTAGATGTAGTTTTAGTTTTGATATGTCATAGCTGAAAGTTAGGGAGTGTCAGTTCAGAAGAGTGATGTCCTTTAGATATTAAGGGTTTTTGCTTCTCTCTAACTGTATGTGACTATTCAGCCAAAACAATGATATCTAAAACACATCTGAGAATACATGTGTGGAGATTATATATAATTCATGAATTTAGGTTAGACTAATGTACTGGTATTTTATATTGTATCTACTGTAGATAGAAAGTGAATATACCAGTATTTATGGGTTGAAAGCATTAAAGGTATTAAATATGAAAAAAGAAGCATTTCTAGATCGTATTCAGAAAGAAATAGAAGAAAATCTTTTCAAGTTAAAGTATAAGCTTGAAGTAATTATCAGAAGTTCAATGTTTTTTTTTTATCTAATTAAATTTGCCAACTACCGTATAGCACTGCATACAGTATCCCTGGTCTTAATCAAAAATATATAGTTAGCTCAAATAGTACCCCCAGGGATACTGTGTAAGGGTAAAGTACTATACTAGGGAGGTATACCGAAAAGGGAGTACTAATTAGTTTAGATAATCTACCGTAAGAAAAAAAAAAATAAGAAAAATAAAAAAAAGTTTTTTCTTTCTCAGCATTTCAAGTTTAGAAATTCAAAATAAATAATTCTTTTTTAAAAAATGACTTTAATACTTTATTTTAAGCATTCAAATGAATTTTTTAATATTAAATAATATTAAAATTATTATTTAATATTAAATAATATTATTTTAATATTAAAGTTAACAAAAACTAATGCTAAAAAAACTATTAAAAGTATATTTTAAAAATTCGTTTTCTATATTTTAACAATTCATGATTCAAATGATCAAATGATCATCATTGAAATTTTTTGTTAAATAAGATACGCGATTTTTTATTCATAACTTTTTTTGCGTTTTTTTTTCAACTTTTTACAATTTGTATAACTTAAACAACTTAAACTTTTCTTTTTTTAATAGGTTCGCGTGCAAACAAAAGAACAAATTGTGCAACTGTAACAAAAAAAGTACAAAGGCAATAGAATGCGCATGAAAAAATAGCAGTTATTTTATATCATGAAAATGGTCATAGCAAAAACAAGACTGCAGCTAAATTTAATATTGAAACAAAGCAACTTCGGGACTGGATATCTAAAAAACCACAACTTTTAAAGGCTTAACCAGGTTTAAAACAGTTAAATAAAGGTTCACCTCCAAAATATCCCACTTTAAAAACTGCTTTAGTTGAATGGATAAAAGAAAGAAGAAATAATTAACAAACAGTTTCGCGAAGTATGATATAATTGAAAGGCAAAGTATTTGCACAACAAAGTCAATGGCAAGCTATATGTCCTAATATTCAATCTTTTGCTTTTAGTAATAAATGGGTGGATGGTTTAATGAGTCACAATAATCTAAGTAATCGTCATCATACTACTATTGTACAACGTTTACCAGATGATCTAATTGAAAAGCAATAGGAATTTTTGGCATTTATTATGTATAGACGCATTCAGCATGATTATTCTTTAGCATTAATTGGTAATATGAATGAAACTCCAATGACATTTGATTTGTCAAGTAATATTACTATTGATGAGACAGGAACACGATCTGTTAGCATTCGTACAACAGGATATGAAAAACTAATTTTACAGTAGTTTTAACTTGTATGATTAATGGAACTAAACTTTCTCCTCTTATAATTTTCAAACTTAAAAAAGTTCCGCAAGGTAATTTTCCATAAGAAGTTATTGTTCGAGCTAATCCAACTGGATGGATGAATGAAAATGAGATGCTTTATTAGATTGAAAATGTTTGGATGAAATGTGCAAGACTTTTAAATCTACAATCATTGTTAGTTTTGAATTCATTTTCTGCACATCTTGTTAATTCTGTAAAAAGGCATTTTGGCAAAAAAAATACCAATCTTGCTGTTATTCCTGAAGGATTAATATCTCGTCTACAACCTTTGGATATTTCAGTAAATAAATCATTTAAAATAAAAGTAAGAAATTTAATATTGTATATTGTATATATCAATTTT